CACATATTAATTTAACTTTTGCGGTGAAAAAATAAACAAAAATTATTATTTCATATTTGCTATATATTATTATGAGATTAGCATATATTTGTCTTATTTATAATAATTGAAGTATATCAACTATAATTACACTTAAAATTTAAAAAATAAATAATAAAATACCTACAATTTCTTGATATTAAGCAATATCAATGCTGAGAGTATATTTTTTCATTTATAAAAGGTTTAAATTGAGATGTTTCATTACCTTCAAAATTGTTACATAAAAAATAGATGTCCCGCGAGGGATAATTAACTGTAATATTCTTCGGCGGTCATCAGGGAATGTTTTAGAACGACATAGGTTAATAAAACACTCATTTAAATAAACGTATGAAAAAAAGAGCAAATTTATTTCAGAACCTCAACATGCGTTTAAAAATATAGTCAAGATCTAGTAGATTGATAGAATTAAAATTTCAGTACATTTTTAAAAATAATATACTATAGTTTTGGATCTGTCATTATAGGTACAAGTTTTAACTTCATTAATCGGCTAAAAAAAAATCATTACAAAGAAAGAAAATTGAAAGAAAATAATTTTTTTTATCTTAAATATTACATATTTAAATTTACATTTGAAAATCTGAAAATCTTAAGTGTATATCAATTTAAACTTTAAACTATACACATATAAGGTTCTTTGAAATATTAATTAATATAAACCATGAAACAAAAAATGTAATTTTGCATTTCAAAGTTTTAATCTTTCAAAACAAGATAGTTGGTTTACTGTAATTATATTTAAGATGAAAATTAACTAATACTAGACTTAAACAAACTTGGCGAAAATTATGTATAAATATAGTTCAAAGTTACTGTAACTATAAGTATAATCCAAATTTTAAATAACTTTTAATTTTTAAAGTTTTAATGTGAATATTTTCAGTTTAAATAAAAGTATTTTAATATTTTAATGTAAGTATACGGTCTAAAGGTATTATAAAAAAAGTGTAATTTAATAATTGTAAGCAAATTAAATAATATAACATAAACATAGTAGCTCATATGATAAAGTACCTATAGTTCCTAAGAATTTAACGACCGAAAGTCAGATATAAATAAAAATATAATTTAAATAATAGATTTCTTAATTTTATTTATTTTTTTATAAAATAAATATGCAATAATGTTTAATTTAGTTATATGCTAGAAATAATCAAATATTTGTTTAATTTTTAAAATAAAAATGGAAATTTAAAAAACAATAAAAAACGTGTATAGTGATAAATTATAAGATTGTTATTCTATATTGATGGTTAAAAGACAATAAATTAACAATCTGAAAAAAATGACAACTTGTGAGTTTCAAAAAAAAAAAATCTAAGTTTTAAATATTTTTTTTTTTTTTTGTCTTTGAATTAAATTTTATTGTCGATATGCGTCTAATTTCGAAAAATAATCAAATCAGACAATAAACAGATAGTTTGTATAATACGTATTAATAATAAAGTTTAATAAATTACAATCGTAATGACATTAATTCAATATTATATTATTATGCCCGAAATTGGCATATAATCAATAATGAGCTTATTGTATGGTTTGTGGCGCTTCTTGGTTAAAATAGGAAAACTAAAATACAGGAAATTCAATAAACGAGGAAAGATTATCGTCTATGGGTATATAGCAATATTTATATAAACTATTAAATATTAATCAAATATTTTATTTGGCAACATTAAAACATTCTTGTATGTTATCCATTTTCATTATGCATTTAAGATTAAATATAAATTCATTTATTATGTATAATTATTGTATATAATACAACATTAGATAATTCCATATTGTTTAATGCCTTGGTGGTGTGATACCGTATCTATACTAAGTCTAAATTACAATGGGTTCAACATTCAAGCTATATTAACGTTTTTTTGTACTTATTAATTTGACATAGCTAGTTCCGCAAGTACAAATGAAAAGAAACTAAATCGAGTCAAAATTAGCAGAATGAAACAAACACATTTGAATTTTTTTAATTAATCGAAATATTAAATTTAATACAGCCAAAAATTAATACAATGCACATAAATATTTAATTATTTAATTTAAAATTGTATTTTTTTTTTTAAATGTAATAATGCATTTATAAATATATAATGCTAATGGAATAATCGAAGCAGAATTCATATAATTTTAACATCAGTGAAAAAAAAAGTTACAATAACATTTATATTCGACAAAACATATATGTATTGTTTTTAATAATTTATGATGTTCAGCTATTTTTCACTGCTTTGTCCATTTCCGATATTTTGGTATTGTGAATGTATTAGTACTTTATATTAGGCTTTTGATATGTTTTCCGGATACTACTGATCGTTAACTAGTACTTTAAATTAAAATAATTAATTTTAAAATATATAATCTTTATGACATTCATTTGTTATGATTACGCCATAATAATGCATGTTAAATCACAGAAGGTATTTAAAAAATAAATATATTTCATAACGCAATAATTGAAATAGTTTGTAGGAGTTAAATATTTTATTGCAGTACCTAGGTACTATCTACTGAGCCACTATAAGGTATAGGTTATGAATATTATCACTTAAAATTAACGACATTGCACTCTTCTATTCTTGTCAGTTGTACAATACAATTAATAATTATTATTAATACTACTAAGAAAAGTCATTGAAAATTAAATTAAAACCATATTGTATTTTCACTTATCAATGTATGCATTGTCATTAGGTCAGTGTAGACGAAACAAACTACGAAATCTTAAGATAGTGGAATAAATAAGTTATGTAAAACGTGAAATAAACTTTTAGTGTTTATCTCGACACCTCAGGTTTTTGATTTCTGTGTTAACCAATAATAAAGTAATATAATAAAGAATTAACAAACAATTAATACCCAAAATAATTATTACCATGTGACACATTTTACGTGAGTTGTAAAGTTATCATATTATGTACACAATATAATATATTGTACATTAATTGAGCTATTAATAATAGAAGTGCTTTCATCCGCTAAATATATAGTAATCCTTGTAATAGACACTCAATGTTTGAGTAAATTTGAATGCGTCATTTAGATCAATTTTTTTATATTTTAAACATGTATAAATAATTACTTTGAATATAGTTAGTAAACTTTTTTTAAATTTCTAAAATAGATAACAAAAATTAACTTGGCATATAAAAGTATACAATTTACTTATCACTCGATAAATATTAAAGTACATAATATATCACCTTATAAAATGTATTATTTTATACTATTATTCTTTATATTTTTAATATTATAAGACCTATCAAACTACATTTTTCATTTTACGTCATTTCAAAGTAAGTAAACCGGATGCTTTTTCTAAAATATTATTTATGAATCGTTTTAGAAACCCAACAATGGCTTTTACCGGGTTTCTATTTAAAAAAAAAAGTAATTTATATATTTCATTTTTTCGGAAAAAGTTGTTTACTTTATATATAAAACATTAATATTGGTGCACATAAAGATAAAATATTGTCGGTATGTAAATTATTTATTTATTTTTCCACACAAAATAAACTCGTGATCACATTTTTTTTTAAGTATACACTTTTGGTTTAAAAATTTATAAATAATTTTTAAAATATGATATTCGAAGAAAACTTAGTATACCGTAGTGAAAAAATATTGTTGGTACAAAGACAAGTTATCTTTCAATATGATACTTTTCTATGACTATGCATGCATGTCTAGCAGTCTATAACGTTAACTGTGCTATACGTTATGACACCCCATGCAGTATCAATATTATTATCATTATCATCATCATCATCATCACTATCATAATAATCATAATAATTATTCATTACTTGTGTATTTATGACTATATTTAAGACTGTGCACTGTGCGTTGAGTGTACAATAACGTTTTCCTAAATATATCCAGAAAAAAAACATTACACTATAGAAAAAAAATGATTCATCGCATGATAAGTCTTGTTCGTTTACTCTTCGAAAGTAGTCATAAGACTCATAAGTATATAATACATGTAGACTACAGTCGATGTGATATTAGATATTTACTAGTGATTTGAGCGCGACTATATGAGGTGTCTCTCTCAAATTTCAAAGCACTGTGTAATACGAGTATATGATTGCATATACTTAGGACGATAATAATATTTGAAAATCACGGACGTTTAAAGTCAACGCGCGTTTATCGGTAAACCTTTTGCCACGACGATCATCCTCCTTCGCCGCGATCAAACAATAATCTGTAATAAAGAGATAACATTACGTGTTCGAAAAATCGAATATATCATAATAATTAATGCATAAAAAACCGTTTAATCTCATATCATATATAATATGTAGGACTTGGGTATACATATAAGTAATGTAACCGATGGAAATGACGCATTTAGGTACCAATAAACGTAGCGCAGAATACTGCAGGACGAGCGCGAACAAAACGGTGATGAGACGAGACGAGAGAGGGGTGGCCGCCGCCCGGCGACTTGACCACGGCCTTTTCTCGAGGGTGGGCGCGGTTTGGGGGTGTAGAAAAAAGCGAAACCTTCAAAGGTAACAAAAAAAAATAAAATAAAAAATAATGAAAAATAATAAAAATAAAAATACATCATACACCACGTACGTATATCTCGCGAGTGGTTAGCGGATAGGGGGGGTGGGGGTGAGGTGAAATGGAAAAAAAGAGCGCCGCGGGTCTCGTTTGCGTGTGGTACGTCGGTCGCGTACGCACTCTCTCGGGTCAATACTTGTGATTCCGAAGGGAGCGACGGCGGCGGCTGGTCCGACGTGAACACACACATACACACACACGCAAACGCGCGCGCGCACGCTCCCGCACACACACACACACACACAAACGCACATTATACGCACGCCACACCAGCCGCCGCCGCCGCGCTGTACGTCGGCGGCGCGGCGGTATCGGCCGCCGAGTGCCGACGATGATGACGGCGGCGGCCCCGGCAGTGTGTAATTCGCCCCGCGACGACTAGCGCGCGCGTTTCCCCCGCGTGACTACGTGTTTGTGCTCTTCGCGCGCACCACCACTACCACGACGACTATTACTACTATACCACCGCACTACCACGACAACAATAACAACAACTGTTACTACCGCTGCTACCACTACCATAATTATTATAACTATATAGTGCTGCCGGTAACAAGCCCGCCGCACGCAGATCAGTCTACTGCCGTGAGTCGGCCGGTGTGTGTGAGTGTGCGTTTGCCCGCGCTTGCGATTCGTCGACCGGAAAGAGGAGAAAAAAAAAACGAACGATATCATTGCAAAATCCAATCGACTTCGCCGATAACGGGAGACGCGACCCGAGTGTGACGGCGATCGCGCGTTTGATATCACGTAGACTCCGGTCTTATCGTACATAATAATATACAGGTACCTACGCGCGTTGTCGTCGTCGTCATCGATCGTTAATGCCTATTGGCCATTAATTATTACCGATTTAATTACGATATTATCATCGTATATCATATTATTATAAAGTCGTTAAAAACTCAAAGGTGACCGGTTTGAATTTCATTTTTTTTACCGCGTCTTATCGTCTTGCCGCCCGATTAAAACGCGTTGTTGAATATCATTGATATTCGTGTTATCATTGTCGCCGTCGTCCGTCAATCGGTCTTCGTTTCTTTTTGATCCCGATAAATCATCGCCGCGTATCGTATTCGCTGATCGTTGCACACCGTTCGATGATGGTTGTTCGGACGCCGGCGCCGAACAAACCGCCGGCGTAAAGCCCAGACGGGAGTTTCGCCAAAGCCGAGTCTCTCTTACCCATATACCCTGCTTGACGTAGTCGGGCGAAAAGGAATCGCAACATAAAACCTACCTCACGATGAACACGGCGGCAGCGGTGGCGATTTCCGTGCTGCTATTGCACTCGGCCACGATCGGTAAGTCCACTTGTCACATTTCTTGTATCCATTTTTATTGTATTGTTAAAGCGCACTGTTTTATGAGTAAATATATATTTTGTGAATCTGAAGTCCATCACACTTCATTGGTTTGGGTGGGGCTGGGGCACAACTCTCGACGTGAAAGAAATATGCTCGCGGCCGAAAAATATCGATTCCGCTCGTCAAACGGATTTTCTCAGAGATTTTCCAGTTTTCCTTCCCCGTATCCCATCAGACCCCTTCCCCGTCTAAAACTTATACATAGCGTCGCAGACAAGTCCACAATAATTAATAACGTCATATTTCATATTCACCCCTCGAAGCACGGAAAAACGCTATTTTTCTGAAAACCATCAACATCACACGCTCTGTATTTTACCCTGTTTGTTTTTTCGTCATTTCATTCTAACGTCAACGTGTACATGTTATTTGCTTGCAAATCGCTTTACGGTTTTTCGTTTTTGTGTTTCCGAAACCAAAGAAAAAGTTTAAATTATTACATAGTATACCGAACTGTGTTTTTGACGTTCTTAAACTTATTCATAACACTTATAACTTATATAAATATAAATTATAAATTATAATAATATATATTATGCAAACCATTATAAAATATAATTTATAATATTATTATCATTTTATAAATGTTTATTTTTGTAAATGATAAAACGGTTTGAATTTTAAATGATCAAAATTCCGTTCTTTTCAAATTCCGAATGATTAGGACTAGATGTGAAAAACAGCTGTTTGATACCGTCCCTTTTATTACATGATGTATAATATGTTTACAACTTTAATTTAAAATCGAAATCACGTCAAAAGTAATTACATCTCCAAAAGATCATCAGAATATAAATATAATGGTGTGGGTACCTAATAAACAAGAGGCATTACAATTTATAGTATAGAATAATATTAGTATAAGTAATAAAAAAGTTGAAAGTTACTTTTTCAAAGTCTAATGCCTTTGCTATTGTCTTTATTTTTAGAATTTATTCATAGGTTACTATTTTTTAATTATTTAAAATTACAATATTTTGTCAACGTGGTCAACGCGGTAATAAAATTAAAAATATATAAATAGTTTTTTTTTTTTTTTATCTTCGACCGTCCGATGTCAAGCATAATAAAAGTTACCATAATGTATGTCATTATGCCATACATTTTCCGAGCATGGCGGGAAACTGGTTAATTCATCGATAATATTTGAGTAGGACTAACAAGGTCCAGGGGGTCGTCGTCACTGTATTTTTTTTTGTTAGAACCTCTGATGTTTGTTTAAAAAAAAAAAAACAATATTCTTTGGAATTTCGAATATCTCTCGCTACATGGGTTTGTATTTATGAGTTATATTTCCGTTGGATTTCGCCCAATAGGCCCTATAATCTCCACACCAACTGAATAAATGAGCTGAGTAGAAGTCGTCGTAATAGTAATAGTACACTAGTAGTAGTAAACACTCGACAGAAACGTTTTCACGGTTGTAAACGGCGGCGTGTAATATTATTATTATTTTTTATTAGAGTGGTTACTACTATATAATACAGTGTATACAATATATACGACTATAATAATAATAATATAATACTACTATATATCATGATGTTGATGTGCGGGACGCCACTCGTTGTTGAGGAGGCGCGCACGCGTGTCAATCAACGGACCAAAGAGTATGGCCAATTATCCTGAGTCTATAATGTCTTATCTATTTCCTATAATTTTTTGTCTGCTCTGTCACTGATGACGATCCGTTGACTAATTCCACAATAAAAAAATTATGCACGGGTTCTTCTGGAACTTCCTTGACCACATTGCAAAGTTTGATAAATCTATATTATTTATGATATATAATGTAATATTATAAAGTACGTATTTAACGCTCTTTTCTATTACACCAAGCCATGTATATGCACTTAATCCTCTTAATGGACTTATTTCGGGTGTTTCCTATACAGAGGCAAACCGTGCGTTTGCGTGCGACATATTCATACCGTTTATGAAAACTAATTCCAAGATTACCTGGCGGAAAGAGATGATAGTCGTCATTATAATTATTACGGTTTAATGGTGTTTGGCTATAGTTGCTATACGTTTCGGTTTGAATACAGTATCCAAGTGTCCTGGTAAATTTCCTGGAATTAAACATTGATAAATGATAAAATAATCAAGTTGATTACTTGTTTGATTGATAAATACATTTTAAAATCGTTTTACAGCTTATTGGCGATAATATTGTTGATGAATACATTTAATTTTTTCCTGTTCTCTCACGACAATTTTAGTTATCATTTATTACTAACTGATAATGTTCTCGATTAACATTTAGTGTTGACTATTGACTTATAATATAGGTTCTATATATTATCTAAAATATAGGATGTTATAACTAGCAATTGACCGCGGAAGAGTGATACGAATTTTCTTATAAACATTATGCCAAAAATGTTTTTCCCGGTTTAAGTAAAATAAAATAAAACAATTTTATGTTTGATGTGTTTATAAAACCAACCACCTGGTGTTATGTTTTTACCTGCAGTCCTTGTTACAACATGTCTGTACAAATTAAATTAAGTCTTACCGCGTCCGCTTAAATATTATTATTATATTGTATTTAGTGCTATTTTCACGTGAATCGTTCCTATTCGACGAATTTAATCACTATTGTGTGCACATTAGAAAGATAATATACATTATTATTATTTATTGCATGCAATAGTAAACATATCTAGGTTAGGTAAACTTACCTATTATGTTTTTTTGTATTGAAGTTTCTATAAAAAGGGTTCTTTTTTTAAATTTTAATCCGGTATGGCTATTAGTTTCAGTGACAATGGCCTTTGTTTTTTTGTTTGCATTGATAGATTATTGATGATAGATTATTAATTAAATATTATGCAACTCCGTTAAATATATTAAAATCTTGAAAAATAATACCCACCCATATCTTTAGATTTGAGGTGAACTAATATTGCATGTTATTGGGCCTCTAATGTCGGTTATTGTAGTAATGTGATAATCATAATTTTAAAGAAATGGACAAAATATGTTAATATTTATTTATTATTTCATAAAAACTGTACTATTATAAATAAATTTATATATTATAAGATTTAATTTTATATTTCCTTTTCTAGATATATATTTTTTGTTTGGTATTTTAATAACCTACCTATTATCTATAATCAAAGATAAAAAAGTAAAATTATTTCGTATACGTTGCGTTAGTGTATATAAATGTATATTTATAAAATAATTTAACTTGATCTATTTACCAAAAAGCCTATTGTAAATAACATTTTTAACTTTTAAAAGTTAAAAGTTTCAATGTTTTAATTCATTATCTAGAATAAAAATTATTTCTCTTGAATTTTGACAAACTTATAATTCGATTGAAAAAGTTACATATTACATTTCAAATTAGTATTGCCATGGAAACTAACATTTAAACTTTCAAGGATATCGTGTTATTTTAAAAGTATTTAAACCACAGCTACTGTTTGATAGATAATAATGTTATATTTAGTATGTCTTAAGCCAAAGTGTTGAAACCTACGCATACTGAATAGATTTCTTCAAGAAACCCCCACGTATTAATCGTTATGGATTTAATCAGGATATCGCGTATATCCTGTTTAAAATATTATATCTTTTAGTTTTTTCGTTATTTGTCAGAAATTCTATTGAACTATATATATTTTTACTTCGTTTATAAAAAAAACGAATAGTTTTTTTTATATTTTCGTCGTATTAGTTAATACAAAAAGGCGTGTATACCAGTTTTTTTATGAAATCAAATCATTAATTAGATGCATGATTTTTGTTTTAAATTATTCTAGTTAGTCTATTTTAAGTATAATGAATAACATTTAAATACATTAAACTTATAGGCAATTTTTTTTTTTTTTACTGATCCATAATAGTTTTATTTATATTATTCATTTATATATGACATAATATTTATATTAAATTTGTAACTAAAAAGTAAATTTGTGATTTAGTAAAAATAATTTTGTTTATTAACATAAATTATAATGATGATATATAATTAAATTTATTTTTTCAAATACCTAATTACGTACATAAGTATGCAAGATTTATCTATTAACTAAACACTCATTATAATTTAAAAAAATTGTGGAATAGAACAAGTGGTTAAAAAATACAAATATTTTTTTTGTTATTATCGTTATTAATAATGCTTTTTTACTGCTATAGAATCAGTAGTTCTAACCTACTTAAGAAAAATATAAACCTAGTCTTTAGCTTTTGTTATTATAAACTATTGTAATTTAATCAATATCAAATGCTTCAGAATTTAGAAATATTTGAATCAAAAGACGGTAATGTAATTCAGTGTATGAGTATTACATAATATGAGGTTACTTCAGTCCCAAAAGGATCTTAAAATATTAGACATGTTTTAAGTATAACCATTGAAAACATCATATTTTTCTATTTAAAATGCCTAAGAAAATTTTCATTTCTGGCAATAAGTTAATTATGAAATACTAATTGTCCTGTAAATCTGATTATGTCTATTATATAAATTTACAGTTTACACCAACTTAGGATTTTAAACGCCAATTTTGTTATTTTCAAATATAATAAATATATTTTAAAACTAACACTATTTTTTCATTTAATTGACGTGTGGCATTATGGTATATTATAAAAATGGAAATAATGACGTTACATTAATTATATTCATGGCCTATATAATTTAGCCAGAAGTTGGAAATTAATAGGAACATTGATAATAAATTAACCACAACCCGATAATTATACCTAATATTTTGAATAAGTATTAAATTAGTAGTATATTTATGTCGGGAAAAATCACAAATTAATTAAATAAAATTACTTAGTGACGTTTTAAGTTCCCAAATATAATTTAACGTTACATATTATTTCGGAGATTAAATTGGACATTATTATATCACGCAACATATATATTTGAGTATTACCAAATGTATCGTACATACATGTATACATATTGT